GTGTATATACACCCTATTTTCTTTATCCATTCATCTGTTGATGGGCACCTGGATTGGTTCCATAACTTGGCTGATGTGAATTGTGCTGCTGTAAACATTCGTATGCAGGTATCACTATAGTAAGACAATTTTGGTTCTTTTGGATAAATATTAAGGGGTGGGATATTTGGGTCATTTCGGTTCAGTTCCTTGTTTGGGGGGCGGGGGGAATCTCCATAGTACTTTCCAAAGAGGTTGCACCAATTTGCAGTCCCACCAACAATATATAAGAATATGTAGTTATTCTTACTACGCTGTAGTGATGTAAACTTTTGTGGGGAAGCTACTTAACATTCATGCAAAACCTAAGAAGTCCTACATTTTGTCTCAGTAGCTTCACCTCCAGAAACGCTAAGGTGATTAATCCCTTCAACATCTAGCACATACTTTTCAAACACCTGTTATGTGCTAGGCCTTATACTGAGGGATTTATCATGATAAGAGGAACCTGATTATTATCTGAATAGGATTTGGTTTAAGAAATAATCAGATGAATATGCCATAGAACAATTAACAATGGGCCGGGCTCAGTGGCTCAGAAGCTGAGGCAGAAAGATTGCAAGTTCAAAGCCAGCCTCAGCAATTCAATGAGTCCCTAAGGAATTTAGTAAGACCCTGTTTCAAAATAAAAAAAATAAGTAAAAATAAAAAGGGATGGGGATATAGCTAAGTAGTTAAGCATCCCTGCATTTAACTCCCAGGAACCCATCAACACATGAATGGTTAAAAAAAATACGGTATATTTACACAATGGAATTTTACTTAGTCATAAGGAAGAATGAAATTATGTCATTTCACAAAATTAGAAATGAATAATGGAAACTTGAGTGATTAAAGACTGACAACTACTGGCAAAAGTAGATTTGCTATGGTTGGAATGTGCCCCCTCTAAATTCATGTGTTGGAAATGTAATCCCCAGTGCAACAATATTGGAGGTGGGGCCTAAGGGGAGGTGTCTAGGTCACAAGGGCCCTGCCCTATACAAAAGTGTGCAGGAGTGGATTCTCTCGCTTGCCCCTCTATAATATGTCTGCCATGTTGTAACACAGCACAAAGGCCCTCACCAGATGCTGGCTCCTCCATGTTGGACTTTTCAGCCTTCAGAATTGTGAGAGAATAAATTTCTCTTCTTTATAAATTACCCAGTTTCAGGTGTTCTGTTACAGGAGCACAAAGGAATGGGAAAATTTGCCCTTAAAGACTATTGATGGCCGGGTGTGCTGGTGCACGCCTGTAATCCCAGTGGCTCTGAAGGCTGAGGCAGGAGGTTTGCAAGTTCAAAGCCAGCCTCAGCAAAAGCAACTCAGTGAGACCCTGTCTCTAAATAAAACACAAAATTCTGGGGATGTGGCTCAGTGGTCGAGCACCCCTGAGTTCAATTCCCCCAGTACTTCCCCCCACAAAAAAAAAGAACTGTTGGTGTAGTGTGCATTGATTGTGCATAAAACCACAAAAAATTGAAACAAGCTGTCTTAAACACTCCTGCTTGCTTTGTAGAGCCTATGGGTGTAGTGTTTAGAATACGAATTCTAAAACCTACTAGTCCTGTGACCTTGGCGTTTTACAGACATTCTCTGAGACTAATAGTTTTTCCATCTGGTTATGAAAATTCAAAAAGACAGATTCATTCATGAAAGGAGTGCCACCCATACTGGGTACTGCTCTGGGCACTGGAGATATTACAGAGAGCAGAAGAGTGTACTAGAAGGCGAGATAGGCAAATAGCACCTACCAAGAAGACATTTCTCATCTCCTTCAACTTGTTCGGGCTGGTGCATCCCTCAGCATGTGGCCATGTCACTGCAATCCTTGCTTCTGTGGTCACATCACTTTCTCTGGGATCTTCTGTAATGGAACTCCATTCATAAGGACCCTTGCTACCACATCAGGCCCACCTGGATAATTCAGGATGAATCACCCCATCTCAATGTCCGTGAAGTTTTCACGTCTGCATGATCAGTTGATATTGATACTACATCCCCTCGTGGCAGTGATAAAGCGCTATTGTCAGGCACTTGGCTCCTGTTCTGGGTGTGAATATGTGTAATTCATTAATATGGCTTTACTCCTGGAGAGAGGAATATCACATAGTCTACATAGGTTCTCTGCAATTCTTTTATTAAAAAAAAATGTTGTCCTTTCTTCCTTATTCATTGGTTTATCCAGTCATTTATTTATAGGAGTATGTCTTCCTAGAACTTTTTATTATACTCTGGGTTATAATATAATACTGTTTTTTTTTCTTTTGTTGTTCAACTGGTTTCAGTTTTGGCTACTGGGAACTGCTTCAGGGTGTTTGCTACAATGTCCCTTTGACATACTTCTAGCATTTTAAAAAAGTAATTTATGGTTCTGTGAAATGCTCCAGGCTCATCATGTTATTTTCCCTGCCCTAGTTCTAGAATCACCCTCTGTTCTTTTTCTTGGAGAAAGATAATTAGAAACCAAGATCTGGGTGCTCACTACCAATAAGTACCAATAAGTCCAGGCCATTTAGCAGACAGACAGGAACATATCCATGTCTACCAACCTTTGTATGCACACCTACCTACACTTACTCTGCATCAGTCTGTACGTATAAATAAACACGAGTTCATACTGACATCTCTGATTCCAATATAAGACCATAGGATTCATTCCTGCTTCTTACTTTTACTTGTTTATAAATTTCTCTATATAATGAACTCCAAACCATTCAAACCATTCCTTCCTTCCTTCATAGAATGCATGTCATCTCAGAATACCCCCAAGTCAACCAAATTTACAACTGGAATACGGTGTTCATGTAACTTCTTTCTTGTCTCGAGTCTAACTTTCTAATCAAAGCACCATTTAGGTCATCATTATACCCTATGTCTTTTGTAAGTTTATGTCTTATGTTTGTAATACAGTTAGATTTATTTGTCAAAATCTGCTTTCCGTTAAGGGTTTGCCCTATATCCAGATCCAGTTTTTAAAATTTGCCTTCATTAAAGTCCACTCTTTGTGATGCACGGTTCTCTGAGTGTGGAGAGATGTGTATCTGTGTATCCCAGGCCCATTCAAAACTATTCCATCACACTAGGCATTCCCCTGCGTTTCCACTTGATAATCAACCATTCGCCATCTCTCAGCTCCTGACGATCACGGGGCTATTTTCAATCCTTATGGCTTTGCCTTTTCCAGAATGTCATATCAATGAAAACTTTTGGCATGAATCAATGACTCATTGATTTTCATTGGATGATCAGTATTTGATTATATGGATGTACCACTGTTGAATGGTATCATGGTTGCTTCCAGGTTTTTATTATAAATCAAGTTTCTAATAAATATTTGTATGTATGTTTCATATGAGTTTGCTTTTAATTCTCTTGGGAAAATACCCAGAAACATGATTGCTGGATCATATGCTAGGTGTGCATTTAATTTTGTAAAAACTGTACTAAATTGTCTTCCAAAGTGGTTGGGCCAGTTTCCATGCCCAGCAGCAATGCATGGGAGTTCTTTTGCTTTAAATCCATGGCGATATTTAGTGTGGTCAGCTTCTTGGATTTAGCCATTTGAATAAAGTCGCTTTTTTTTTTAAAGTAATTCATAAAATCTTTGAAGAGTACACATTTAAAAATCAACTAATGGGGCTGGGGTTGTGGCTCAGTGGTAGAGCGCTCGCCTCACACATGTGAGACCCTGGGCTCGATCCTCAGCACCACATTAAAAAAAAAATAATTAAGTGAAATAAAGATGTCGTGTCCAACTACAACTAAAACATAAATTTAAAAAAAAAGTACTCTGACTTAAAAAAATCAGTTAATATGTGATGTTAATAATAATGTTAAAGATTAAAAGCCTAAGTCAGAAGGTTCTTTCCATGTGTCTGTGGTGATGGAGGAAATGTATGCTTTTGCATAAAGAATGGTGCCTGGCACACAGGAGGTGTTTAATAGATGATCCTTTCTCTCCAGCCTGCCTTTTCTCAGGCAGTTCTGCTTTCTTAGGAGGGAAAGCTTCATGATACAGGAAAGAAGGTTGGATGCTGTGCTATCAGCCAGCTGTCATTGGAGGCAGGGTCACTTTTTAGGATGCTTGGTCATTACACCTGCTCCAGGTACAGAGAAGGCAGGGCCTCAAGTCTGTGGAAGATATTCTGACAAACTCAAAGCCCTTCCCACCCTTCTCACTTTTCTAGAACTCTCTACTACATGGCAACTGAGGAAGATAGGAAAGCAGAAGGAAGGGAAAGGGACTTTTTACTTTTTACTTTTTTTTTTTTTGCCCTCCTCAGAGACTGTCCAAATTCCTATTTATGAACTTGTCCAAGTTCCTGAACTATCAGTAACAGCCAGCAGTATCCTGTCCTCATAGGTCTGAGTTCAAGCTCTTGGGCCTGCTCCTCTGAGTACCTCTGCCCCTTTGTTCTCCAGTCCTGGGGGTGTATAGCTGCTTCTTGCAGCTGCCCCTCCCTGAATAAACTCAGCATCCTCTTCCGCTCTTTCAGTCCACACTGGTAACTCCCTCTATCTTTGGTGGAATATCTAGCATGGTTTGCATTTTTCTGTTGTCCTTAGATTCAGATATTTGGGTTCTTTGTTGGCTAATAAAAACAGTGCCGCAGGTGGGTATAGTATTGCACACCTGTAATCCCAGCAATGCAGGAGGCCAAGGCAGGAAGATTGCAAGTTTGGGGCCAGCCTGGCCAACTTAGCAAGACCCTGTGTCCAAACAAAAAACAGAAAGGTCTGGGAATGTAGCTCAGTGGTTGAGCACCCCTGGCCCAATCTCCACAGTACTCCTACAAAACCTGTCTCTGGGGACACATCACTGTGCTGTCTCACCTGCCTCTGGATGCTCCTGCCCCCTCCCATCAGTGTATACCACCCCTGCTCATTAGTCCCTATTTTTTTAGGGAAGCCATTGCCTTAAACACGTACACTGGGGCTGGAGCTTCCTTTAAGTCAAGAGCTGAGGCAGGATTCAGGAATCGTTTTTTATCCACATCTTTATTTTTCCTGTGCAAATGTCAACGCAGGCATAATTAATAGTTAAGGCTTTAAAAATATATGCATTTTGAGAAAACATTGCTACTTACATTTTGCTGATGCTATGAGATTGGATCAACAACCTTTAATAGACCTTCTTATTCATTTTTTAAAAGTTAAAATGGTCAAATGACCCACAGTAAATGGTCAAATGACCTGCAAGAAGAGACCCATGTAAGTCCAAAATACATAATTGAAAATGAAGTACTTTTGGCATGAACTATATTAGGACCCAACTATGTAATATATGGATTATAACATCAGATCACAGAGACTTTGAAATTTTCAAAGCAAAGTGGAGGATTCTGTCTGATGAGAAGAAGAAAGGAGGAGGAGGGAAGGAGAGAGAGAAGATAAAGGGAATAGAAAAAGAAAGATTCATCATTGTGTAATTTGCAATGTGTATTCAAGTGAAGGATAGAACATGGAAAGTATAATTTGCCATCACAGAACCAAAATATACAAATCTGTTATAAAATGTTAATGTAGTTATATTTATTGGATTAAAAAAAACTAGTTTCTGCAATCTGCAAGCTCTCAGCTAGCTATAAGCTTTGCCTTAGGATGGAATTCCAAGAGGGTTTGAAGCTTCCTTAGGGATGAAGGAGCAGTTTGTAAAGATATGGATATTATGGGTCTCATCTTCTACAAGTCCCGGTCAACAGCATTTTTGACTTGGGATGCTATTCCAGCCTCCAAACTAAAAGCCTCTCCCTGAACAGAGCTCTCCTCTTGGAGCTAGAACAGCTCATCCTGGGGGGTCACATAGCCCTAGCAGCGGGCTATCCCCGCAGTGGCAGTTGGTTCCAATCTCCTTTGGGGACTCCCAGCATCATTCTCACCATGCAATGCACTCTCCTCAGAGTTTGTCTAAATTCCTGTGTTTGCCAAATTGCTCTGAGTCCCTGAATGATCAGTGATGGCCCACAGCATCCTGTCCTCAGAGGTCCCAGTCCTAGGACAAGAACGGAAGCTGTCTTGGAATCCCTTTTGGCAAGTGAAAAGGGGACACCGCTCTTCCCCTAAAGAGAAGCTCTATTCTAGGAAGCAGATCCTGGTGTCACTGTGGCTGCATATGCCAAGGAGGAGTCTAGTATTGCTTTGCCAACTCGAAGGGGCCTCCCACAGAATTTGTGCTTGCCACAGAACCACCAAAGGCTGGGGTTTCTGGGGGTCCCAGCAAGCATGTAAGGAGACATCAGACTCAGAAATACATCCTCAGACCGTCTCATATAAGATAGAATTTGCGTTTCTGCCTGTCCTTTAAGCTATTTGTTATATTTTACTTTTTTAATATTTATTTTTTAGTTGTAGATGGGCACAATACCTTTATTTATTATTATTTTATTTTTTATGTGGTGCTGAGGATCGAACCCAGTGCCTGACGCATGCTAGGCGGGCGCTCTACCACCGAGCCCCAGCCTTAGCCCCTCTTGTTATATTTTCATAATGGGATGGTTGATAGAGTGAGGTTGGAGGTGAGGAAAAAGAAAGGGTGACTAAGTAATCTTCCACTTGTAGGAAAATTAGGTTACAAGTCCTAAAAATCTCTTCATGGATTCCATAAACAAAACAAAACAAAACAAAACAAAAAATTGGGCCAGCATGTAGCACACACCTGTGGTCCCAGCTACTTGGGAGGCTGAGGCAGGAGGATCACTTGAGGCCAGGACTTCAAGGTCAGCCTGGACAACATAGTGAGAATCTGTCTCAAAAGCAAATTATTACAGTTCCCCATACATCCTTGCATGTGCTTGGACTGAGGACACTGCACATTTCCCTGCCCTGCTTGGAATTTCATGAAGGTCGCACAGAAACCTGGCACTTCCCTGGAGCTGACATCCTGAGTCCCATTTTCTAGAGAAGAAAACCAAAGCTCTCTCCTGCAGTCACATTGCTTGCAAAGGATGAGCAGAATGCAGGATGAGGAATGCAGCCCCGGCTGAGTCCTCTGCCACACAGTTGCAGATATACAGCGCTGCACAGAGAGTCGGCCCCCACGGAGCAGCTCATTTTCACTACTGCTTGGCCTCTGTCTTTGCAGCCTCCTCAGGAGCCTCCGCATCAGACGGGGGGCCGCTCCCACTGCCCTTCACCTGGCTCTCCAGCTGGCTGAGCCGCTGCTTCACCTTCATCTGGTTGGTGTTATACTCTGCCAGGAGCCTCGCAAACCTGGTCTGTAGCATGTCCAGGGAGGACTCCAGGTGCTCCACCTTCTCCTCGATGTCCTTGGGGTCTGCCCCAGCCTTGGCCACATCCTCATCGATCAGGTTGTCCTTCATCAGGATCTGCCGTCCCTTCTCCTCCAGGGCCTTCTTGGCCTCAGGGTATTCGGTGAGAGCCTCCATCAGGTCATCCTTGGACAGGCAGAACAAGTCCGAGTAACCGATGCTCCTGATGTTCGCCGTCCTGCGGTTCCCCGACTTGCTCCCCTTGATGTTTAAGATGCTGATCTCCCCAAAGTAACTGCCATCGCTGAGGACCACAAACTGGGTGATCCCATCATCGGCCACCACAGCCAGCTTGCCCTCCTTGATGATGTACATCTCCTTTCCAATGTCCCCCTTCTTGCAGATGTAATCCCCAGGGCTGAACACGGTCGGCCGCAGCTTCAGCACCAGCTCCACCAGCAGCCCCGCCTCGCAGTCCTGGAAGATGCGGACCTTCCTGAGGGTGTCCAGGTGCACGTTGATGGCGATCTCGGCTTTCAGCTTGTCTGGAAGGCTCTTGAGCACCTCCTTTTCATCCACCGTCTTCCCGTTGGCCCACAGGTAGTCAAACCAGCGGATAACCCGCGTCTCCAAGTCCTTGGTCACCTTGCGGAACTGCATGTACTGCTTGATGGAGTCAATCTTAGCCTGGAACTCTGCCCTCGAAGCATTCATGTTCGAGATCATGGAACCCACGTTGCCCACAATGGTGGCAAAAATCAGAACACCCACCAAGAAGTCAATCACCACAAAGAGATACTCCCCGTCCTTCACGGGGGGTGGAGTCTCACCGATGGTGGTCAGGGTCAAGGTGGACCAGTAGAGACTGTAAATGTACTTCCTGGAGAGGCGAGCATGCTCTGGCTTGGAGATATTTGGGTAGACCCAGGAGTCTGTTCCGAAACCGATGAACTTGGAGATGGCAAAGTAGATGCAGGCATTCCAGTGGATGATGACGAGGATGTATAGGACCAAGTTCCCAATCCTGAACACATTGGGGTAGCTGGTCCTCGTCTCGGTGCGGTCAAAGAATTCAAAGAGGCGAGAAAGTCTCAGCAGGCGGTTGAACCTCAGTTCCGGGTAGTTCATGCCCCACTTTATATAAGCCAGGTCTGTGGGGACCAGGGACAGTACATCCAGCTTGAACTGCATGGACTTTGTGTAATGTTTCCACAGCCTGCTAGTATCCTGGACCATCAAGCCTTGCTCGAGGAAACCTAAAGAAGAAAGAGAAGGTCACGTGGGCATCAGAGCACCTGGCTTTCTTTGGTCATGGGCAGAGAAAGGTATTTTATACCAGGGCTACACACTATGCAGTGACACCTAGGCAAGGGCAGCAGCTTCCAAGAGCAGCGCCACTGCTGTGGGAAACTCACACTCACGGATTGTGTTCGATGACGTTGTAATGCATTCTATTCAGCTTTTCAAAAACCAGATCAGTTGGGTCATGTTGCAAATAGATTGGGTATCATACATGTTGGCATCCTGACCTTTACGTTTCCTGTTATATTTTCACCATCAGATGGTGGCAGAGTGAGGTTGAGGAGGGAAAAGAGGAAGGGTGACTACATAATCTTCCATTTCTAAGAAAATCAGATTACATACAAGTCCTAAAAATCACCTCATGGATTTCATAAAAAAATAATTGGGCCTGACATGGTAGCACACACCTGTGCTCCCAGCTACTTGGGAGGCCGAGGCAGGAAAAGATTATTACATTTTAAAGGATAAATGAAAATTTGTATATATGATTTATATATAATATAATTTTAATATATAATTATATAAATGTATACTTACATATATTACTATTAATATATATAATTCATAATTATACATGTATTATCTATATACATAAATTTATATATAACTATATTATTTATAAATTATACATGATTGTATGAATTTACAATGTATATAATTTTATGATTTATAAATTTTATACAACTTATTTTATAAATTATACTTTACAAATATTGTATAATATACTTTGTTTTTTAAGTTATATATTATGAATTAATAATTATTATTTATATAATATATAAATTGTAATAGTTCATATAAATATATAGAACTTTAAAATACATAAAAATTATAAAAATAAAATATAGGACTGGGGTGTGGCTCAGAGGTAGAGCACTTGCCTAGCATGTGTGAGGCACTGGGTTTGATCCTCAGCACCACATAAAAATAAAGATACTCTATCCACCTATAATTTAAAAACAAATATTAAAAAATAATAAAATAAAATATATATATATAAAATTTAAAATGTACAAAATCATAAATTATATATTTTATGATATATTTTATTTTATAAATCATGTGAAATTTATAAAATCATATATTTTCTACATGTATACATTATTATTTATGAAGTTGTATATCATATATAAATTTAAATGGGTACCTATATGTGTGTATTGATTTTAAAAGGGGCTTTTCTAAGTTAACTTTCAGAGTCAGAGTGAACTAAAGAGTTCACTGCCTGGGGCTGGCTTGAAAATATCCCAGGCAGCAAATAAAAAGGATGGAACGGGGCAGGTGACGGACAGAGGGTAAGAAGCGGGGAAGTGTGAAGCTGGGTGAGGGCCGTCGGGGTCACAATACTGTTCCCTCTGCTTCTGTGCACCCTGGAATATCAGTCGTAAGCATTTAAACACACGGCTCAGATCCTATCAGATCCGTTTCACCAGTCTCATGGGGCACGACCTGCCTTTGAGAAACCCTCCCCAGGACTGGGGCAGCTCCTCCTGGTTGCACATTAGAGTCTCCCAAGCCACTGGAAGTCTGGGGCTGGTGTCCAGAGAGTCAGACTGGCAGGAGACAGGCTGGATGCAGGAGTTAAGAGGTGTTCAGACCAGGGCACTCTATCATGGGACTCGTGACCTGCATTCTTTTAGTTTTCGCCATTTCCAAACATGCACAGGAATAGAGAGAATAATATAATGGGTGCTTTTTGAACTTTGGGTAGGCAGCAGAGCCCCCTATGGGTTCAGTGGGACGCAGAGGGCTTGAGCCTGGATGTCTGGGGCACTTCTAACAGGTTCTGGGTGCTGCTGCCACTGGTCCAGGGCCACACTCTGAGGCTAGATGGGGGAGGACTGTCACCTCTGTGAAAATTGGAAATCAAGTCTGTTGTCCACACATGAAGGACACCCCACCTCCAGCCCCTATTCTTCACATCATTCTTTTGTCATCCATTCTTCCTTTGGTGTCTTTGGGGGGACTGGTTCCAGGATCCGCCTACCCGTCCTGCCCAAGGATACAAAAATCCTCAGTTGGTTGAGCCGGAGGACACAGAGGGATAGAAGGGCCATTGCGCGTGTACTTATTGAGTGCCTGGGCTGTCACACAGCATCCTGTGCCTTGACACGTCTTGACACTTCTTTGAGACCTTTCTCTCAGTTCTGATGAGTTTTCCCCTTGGATCATGATCCACAGCCACTTGGTTTCTGTGCTTCCCTCTCCCCCAACTTCCTGATGCACCTGGTGTTGCCCAGGGCGGAACCCAGGCATAAGAGTCAACATCTGAGCGAGGGGTCTTGTTGCACCGAACTTGGCTGAGATCAAGGACAGCCAGCCCAATGGGCTGTTCATGGACCTATGAGCCTCTGCAAGCTAATGACGTGCAGCAGAGTGGCAGACCCCCAGGGCTGGCAGGTCACCACATAAGCCTCAAGCCATGCATGGGAGGTCTTCTAAGTGACAGTGTTAGGCACCAGTGTGGGAGGCCGTGTGGCATGACTGGGTAGTGTCTGTGGACTTTGAGCGACTCACACAGTGTCTCTGGCCTTGTTTTCTAAATGAAGAACGGAGACCATCATCCTGCACCTCTTGTCTTGTGCAGTAGTTCCAATGAGAGCACGAGGTGTGTTTGGAATGCTTTATAAACTACGAAGACACACAGAGGTGTGCTTGCTGTGACCAGGCGGTGTTAACATGGACAACTATGGCACAGTTTTTAGTTCAAAAATCTTGAAAGAAACAAGCAGGGCTTTTGCCATTCTTCCTGTGAATTAGAAAAGGGGGCACAGTTCTGAGCCTGAGGGGTGGTGAGTTTTGGTTCTGGCAGAGGCAGTAGAAGGAGGTCTCATGACCTTGGCACTGTCTTCCGAAAGCTACTGAGGAACTTTCCCTTCTGCTCCTGCTACCAGTCTTGAACAGGCAGAGCTTGGAGGGGTCCTTCCAGATTGAAGTGTGGCCTTCTTGCTTTACAGATGACACAACACGGTCCAGAGAGACAGCTTGACCTGCTCAAGGCCCTTCAGTTTTCTGGGAGAGCAGAGCACAGACATTCTGACCCCTGCTCAGGGTCCATTCCAAGGTTCAGCACAGAGAGACCTGGAACAGCAGCACCCATCTTCCTGGTTAAATGGTCCCCAGGCCTCCTGGCCTCTCATGGTCAAAGACAGGTAATGTTCAGCCTGTCATTCTGGATCTCTCTGAGCACTCCATGTGGTACTGGAGATTCCCCCAACCCCAAAGTCTGTGGCCTGGTTCAGAGCAGTCTCCAGGCCTGGGACAGACTCACCTGTCCGAGTGCGCACCAGCATGTCCAAGCCATAAATGACATCTGACGAGTAGTCCAGGACCAACCACAGCATCAGGTGCTCCGACTGGAGCTCATCAAAACAGGCCCTAGACAAACCCAGCATGAGAGATGAGACAGATGGCCGCTTGTCAGAACACAGGCCAGGCAGCAGCTTCGTACCGTAAACGTGGCTCCCTTCATGCAGTGACAGTCCTGCTTGCAGGGTTAGAACCCCAGAGTAATAACCCAGGCCTCTGATGAGGAAACAGAGTTTTCTTTTTGTTCCTCCAGCACTGGGGATTGAACCCAGGGCCTGGGGCCTGCTAGGCAAGTGCTCTACCACTGAGCTGCACCCCAGCTCTAGAGACTCGGGTTTTGGAAAGTTATTGTTCCATGGTCATGGGGCTGCTGAAAAGAGCCAAGGGCTGGGAGTGGTAGAGGATGTACTTAGCAAGTCCTGCTTTGAGCCCATTACCAAAAACGAAGGAGGAAGAGCAGGCAGAGGAGGAGGGGGCGGAAGAGCGCTGGGATTGACCCCAAAGAGTGACAGTGAGCTATGAAACCCCAAGAGATGCACTTTTCTAGGCCTCTTGGTAGAGTCAGGGGTATCGTCATGACTTGGATTTTAAATGTCCCCAAAGGCTTATGTGTTAAAGACGTGACTGCAGCCTGTGCTGCACCTGGGAGGTGTGGGACCGTTAGCAGGTGGGGCCTAGTGGGAGGAAGGGAGGTCATTGAGGGCGTGCCCTTGAATTGGAGATGGGGACCTGGCCCCCCAATACTTCATGCTGAGGTGAGCAGCTCCCCCATCACCCACTCCCCATGATATGCTGCTGCTTTGTCACAGGCCCCAAAGCAAAAAATTGCCCATCAAGGGAGAGCTCAGAAGCTGGGTTCAAATAAACCTTTCCTCCTTTTAAGTTGTTTATCTCAGGCTTTTTGTCAAAGTGATAGAAAGATGACTAATGCGTGATCAGAAATGCCACCATGCTGTCTCCCAGAGCAGCAGCTGTCTGTCTTGCAGTCTTGCTCAGGAATGCTTCGAAGCCCACTGTCTAATGTCAGAGGGGAAGGACTTGCCTCTGTGTCCTGGTCTTGCATGCCAGCTCAGCAAAGCCTCAAAGGCACCCCTCACCCTCTCGGGGCTGCATCCTGGTTGGCCCTATCATGCTCTGGAGAGCCCCCAAGTCCTGCCTCTGCATGCTTGTCCTGCAGGCTTGCCTAGGGCCCTCCAGCTACTCTCAGAAGAGCAGCGTATTCGGAGTCCTTGTGCTGCAGGTCTGCTAGGAAGGGCTCCTAGATCCCTGGCTTAACTTGAGAGAGCAGCAGTATGGCCCTCATCCCTGCTCAGGAACTTGCAGCCTGCGGACTTTCTCAGAAATACCCTCAACTCTACCTGCCTGCAGAATAGAGCTGCCAGTCCTGCATCCTCATCTGGTAGCCTGCTCGGGAATGCTCCAAAGGCCCTTACTGAATGTGGCTCCCTCTGGTCCCTCTCCCTGTAGCTCTGCTCAGGAGAGCCTCTGGAGAGCCTCTGGAGCCCCTTCAGAGGAGCAGTATCTTGTCCCTGTATTTACAAACATCACTTCCTAGGAAAGGTTTAACTTTCCCCTGGTGCTTGGGAAGCCCCAATTCACCCCTGCACCTCCCACCTGCAGCTCGCTTAGAAAAGTGCCAAAGCCTGTGCTTCTCTCCAGAGAGCAATAGCTTCTTTTAAACTTCCCAAAGTACATGCTTGCCTAGGAACACCCTGCAAACCCACATCCACCCTCAAAACAGTAGCAGCTTCAATTCACAATAGCTAAACTATGGAACCAACCTAGGTGCCCTTCAACAGATGAATGGATAAAGAAAATGTGGTTCGTATACAAAGAGCGTCTCAAGCCCAGCTTGTCAGCAGTGGCTTAGAGCACCCCCATAGTCCTCTTGGAGAACCTCCTGATTTTATAGGTGGAGAAACTGAGGCACCAGAGAGCTATAAGGTGGCTGTGAGGGGACCAGAACTCTGAGATCCTGGGTGACACTCCATCTTCTGGCCATGGCTGCCCTTACCTGCTCCAGCCCGCCTCGGGTGACGGCCCAGCCCCTGCACCTACCTGCACACGAGCAGACACCAGTTATAGAAGACTGGCACGGCGATGGTGGTCAGCCAGCGGTAGTAGAGGTTGCTGGAGGGATCCATCACAAAGCTTTCCTTCTTCTTTCTGGAAACACACACACTCACAAACAGTTCAGTGTGTTGAAGGGCTGTGGCTTTGGGAGGGTAATTTCAGGTTGACACTGGACAAGTAACTATACACATCAGTGTCCTCTCAGTCTCAGGGACGTCACACGAGGTGTCCCTGAATGGGAATACAGGCTGGAATCCAGGGCAGACTCTGGGGTCCTTCCCTCCCGGCTCAACTCCCCAGGAAGCCATGGTTAAACCACAGTCATGACGATGATATTTTGTGTGACATGTGGCAGCGTCCTTGCCCTTCAGGATTCTGGAAATGAAAATGCTGTCTGGCAATGTCACCAAGGACTAGTGAGGGAGCGTTGGGACCGTCTAGGGGAGCTTTGTGTAAGTGTTGATTCCCAGGCCCTCCCGTCCCCCCTCCAGAGCTGGGGCCTGGAGATGTGCATTGACACCCCGCCTGGGGGTTTCCAAGGCAGCTGCTTTCCCCTGAATATGGAAGCCCAAGAGTGTGCCCTTGGCAGCCCTCCCTGCTTCCCTCACTGCATTTGTGCTAAAATGAGGTTATTGATTTTATTATTATCATCATCTATTATTCCTAAACTGTGAGGCGAACCACCCCATTCGAGTACACCCTGAGAAATTAATGGTTCTATCCAAAGTTCTAGAATTTATGCTCTTTTCCCATGAGCTCCTGGGAAAGTCGCAGACATCCTGAGACCAGACACATTTTGAGGTCAGCCGTGAAAACCCAAATCCACACGCTGAGTTTTTGAAGTCATGTGTCAAGCTCTGTGCTCTGAAGCAAAGGGTGTGGCCTGCAAGTTCTTCTCAAAACTCATTTCTGGACCCACTGAAGGGAACCCAAGAGCAGAAGTGAAGCAGAAGTCAGAACAGTTTTGTGAGGCACGTGCAGACAGCCCCTGGCTTGGGTGGTTTAACTTAATGATTATTTTGACTTTACAATGGTGTCAAAGATATGCATTCAGTAGACACCTGACCTTGAATTTGGATCTTTTCCCAGCTTGGTAATGTGCAATCCAATTCTCTCTCCATGCTGGTTGGTGACATGGAGCCATGGCGCCTAGTCAGTCACATGATCTATTATTACCATATATAACAGGCTTTGTGTTGGAGGATTCTGCTCAGCTGTGGGCTAATGCGTGTTCAGAGAGGGCTTAAGGTAGGCAGGGCAATGCTCGGAGGTTTGGAGGTAAGGTGTATTCAATGCACATTTGACTTGGGATATTTTCAACTTGAGAGTGTTTATTGGAATGTTGCCCCAACTCAAGTCAAGGAGCATTTGTAGTGGCAAATCTCAGAGTCAAGGCCTGCAAATGAGGCCAAGTTCAGAAGCATATTCAGACATTGCAGGATGGTCCTGCTGGTACACATGGCTTTATTCTCCTTCCTCTTTATCTTTTCTGCTTTCTGGTATGTGTATGATACTGGTGATTGAACCCAGGATCTATATGCCCAGCCCTTTTTAATTTTTATTTTAAGACAGGGTCTTGCTAAATTGTCCAGGGTGGCCTTGAACTTTTGATGCTTGAACTTTTGCCTCAGCCTCCCGAACAGCTGAGATTACAGGTGTGGGCTACTGCACCTTATGTGGGAATTTGTTCTGGCAGCAAAAGGGCTACTGCACTGCTTCCTCTTCTTTATTGGGTACCTTTTAAGGGTTAGGTATTGTTCTAAAAGTTATGCAAATTAATGGTTATAAAAGTTTTTCAAGACAGGTATTATTGCCCCATTGCCCAGTTGAAGAAACCAAAGTGAAAGGTAAGAGATTTTGCCTGTCAAAGGGAGAAACCTATAGCAATCACCTTTGGGACCCTCTGATTTCACTCTTCCACATTCTGGAAGAAGGCATAGTTGATAACAAAATGTCTAGTCGTTGAAAAAGACCAGTATGCTTTTACCTGGCATTTGCTAAGAAAATAATATGCAAATATGCATACAGCAGAGTCCTCACAATAATCAAAAAGTGCAAGCAATCTAATCATGCCCTAGAAGATCAGCAACAGAATTCTGTTAGGTCACTTGATGATGTTGTGGAAGAATATGCAGCAATATGGGAAAACTATTCCTAATATTTTCTAAGTTAAAGAGCAGCCAGGTGTGGTGGCATATGACTGTACTCCCAGTGATGAGGGAGGCTGAGGCAGGGGGACTGCAAATTTGAAGCCAGCCTCAGTGATTTAGTGAGGCCTTGTCTCAAAAAAAAAAAAATGGCTGGAGATGTAGTTCAGTGGTGAAGCGTTCCCTGGATTCTGTCCCCAGTTCCAAAATAAATAAAATAAATAAAAAGCAGACCATAAAATAATTTAAATAACAGTGAACTTGTCTGCTTTTGCTGCCAGAACAAATTCCTACACATTTAGTGGTTTAGAAATCCATCATGTAGATCTGTAGGTCAGAAGTCCAGTATCACTCTTCCTAGACTAAAATCAAGCAGAGCTGTGATCTGTTTTGCAGGCTGTTTGGGAGAATCTGTTTCCTGATTTTTGTGGACTGCTGGCAGAATTCATTTCCTTGCAACTGTAGGATGGAGATCCTAGTTTTCTTGCTGGCTGTGATTTGAGGGCTAGTCCTTCCTTTCAGAGCCTGCTGTGCCTCTTGGTCTGTGGCACTTTTCCTCCATCTCAAAGCCAGTGGTGGTGGCCAGGTTCCACTTACTGAATCACCCTTTTCCTTCCCTTTCATCTCTGACCTGCTCTTCTACCATGTCTTTCACTTGAAGCACTCGTGATTATATTGCCCCCCCCCCGATAATCCACGATATCCACCCAACTCAAGATTTCTAAATTTAATCACATTTGTAAAGTCACTTTTGCTACATGGGGCAAACTGTTCAGGGATTAGGACAGTAGACTTCTTTTCTTCCCCTTCCTTTTTTTTTTTTTTCTTTTTTGAGTGGGGACAGAAGGACTCTTCTGTCTACAATGATCAATTTTTATTGAGCATATTTATCAGGCACTGTTTCAACCCTTCACACAGATGTGTAAGACACTATTACAGTCCTTTGAGTTCATGGGTCATAAACCCCAAATCACAAATTATAAGCCAGAAAACTCGACATACGGACTAGACAAGGTAACTTGCCCAAGGTCACAGAGCTCTTAGGGGACTGAGTTGGAATACAAATGTTAAGTAATTATCTTTGATATATTGTGTCTATTTATCTATTCAATATTTGTGCCTAGGAAAAAAAGTTGGAGGGGGCTGGAGCCGGGGCTCAGTGGTGGAGTGCTTGCCTGGTATGCCTGAGGCACTGGGTTTGATCCTCAGCACCACATAAAAATAAAATAAAGGTATTGTTCTACCTACAACTACAAAAAGTTCATATTTAAAGATAAGTTGGAGGAATATTAATATGTTAAGAGGGGTTCTCACTGATAGCTGGATTCTGCTGTTAACAGAAAAATGTACTTTGATTGTGCTTATGGGATCTTTTCTTATCTTCCAAGTTTTCAACAATGAATACATGAATGAAATGGTGTTAGCTTACGTTTAGATCCTCTGAGGATGCCTCCACACTTGAATCACAATTTATTTTGTATATAAACTGCTTTAAAGCCAGATTTAGGAGTGAACTCACATTAAATAGTGGAGTCCCAGCCAATCACAGCTGGGACTGTGATTGAGCTTCTGTCAATCACTGGAGACCCGCTGATTTGAATAAGGCAAAATGCCTGGCTGTAACCAAGGGCTCTGTCTCCACCTCACTTCCTTTTTCTCTCCATAAATGGCGCTTGATCATGTTACAACCTTCTTAGAATTTGTTTTAGTTTGGGGGTTAATTGTGAATAAAACCCAATTAAGGTCCTTAAGTAATTTTTTCTAATTTTGTCTTTTGCTGGTGGATAATAAATTATTCAGATCTTAAGTGAGAAGAGCAAACAGTTACCCATCCTCTGCCTTCTTGAATCGACTGTGATGTGACCTCTGGAGTCTTAACGTGAAGTCGCCAGCAGAGGGCGCTGCACACACACTTATTAAGCGCACCTATCCCTGTGTAGGCTCAGCTTGCTTTGTCCAGGCCTATGGCCCTGGGGTACAGGCCCTGGCCTTTCCTCTGATTCCCAAACTGCAGAGGGTCTAGGAAAGACACAGCACCTTCCAGCTGCATCCACAAATCCATCCAGGACTGCTCAAAAAGAACCTGAAGTCCTGCAAAAGGATGCCCAATTTGGAAATAGTTATGGAGACCTAAGGAAAAGTGAGAATGCAGACATGTGATGGAAGAGTGGAGGAAGTGTCAAGGGAGGATTGCTTTCCCATATATTCTGTGCCCAGGTGTCCCCATTTGAGGACAGTTCCCAATTTCATCTCTTAGTCATTGACTGCAGTGTGGACCCATGACATTTAAGAAGATTTAAGAGCCAACCCCATCCACCCCCATCCTTGTCCACAGGACACAGGGGCCCAGAGTCTGCTGTTGAATTAGTCTTCTATTGCTGACACAAAGATTATCACACGTTTAGTGGCTTAAACTGCAAGTCCATTATCTTGAAGATGAATGGCCTTGTAGAATCCTTGTCCCTGGTTTCCAGCACCCTAAGCTTCTCCCTGCTCAAGAGACTCAAAACCCAGTCTCCCAGGGGGGTCTCGTGTCAGGTTTGGCCTTAAATTCAAGCACAGATCACAGCAGCTATTGTGGTGTTCAAATCATTTCATTTTTGTTATTTTTGTTAATTGATTGTATTTGAGTCTTTGGATTTGATGTTCAAGTTTATGCAAACAGAATTCATGCTTCCGTTGTGGAAGGAAACAAGAAAAAAAATCTGAGTAATGGGAGAAGAGGAAAGTGTTGGCCCGTGTCTCTGTCAGTTGGAAATCAAGAAATGGGCATTTCTTGATGATGTTGATAGTTCCCCCCTAGCCTTTGGTGAAGAGTCCTTTTGCCCTTGGTATTCCATAAAGAGATGTCCTGTGTGGCTGGAGAGTTGTACACACATGCATTGATGCACACTGATAATTTTGCACACACACACTCACACACACATACACACACACTCACTCCTGGGGCTCGTGGGTGGCACTTGTGAGAATCACCCTCATCTGCCAGCTCAGCGTCTGTGACAGAAAGAAATCACATCAGGTCACCCTTTCAAACGGCTGGTCTTTGGAAATATTTGGATTCCCCCTTTCTCTTCCCCTGATGACACCCTGAGTGTCACTGGCCTGAGTTTGGCCTCAAGATGGGGGCATTTCACTGGCACCCAGGAGCTTGAAGTCCTAGAATGGAAAACGCATTTGCACCACTGAGGTGACCGTCACTGCTCTGCCCAGGAACTCCGGTTTTGTACCCTCAGATCGCCACACCAGGAGGTTAGAGCTTCCAGAGTTTATCAGACCAGACCCTTTTGCTTATAGATGAGAAAAATGAGAGTCACAGAGATAAAATGACTTCCACAAAGAAGTCATCCAGACCTTGTCCCCTCCCCTCCTAGACAGATGGATTTCCAGCCAAAGGAACAGGATTCTAGAATGTTCTACTGATGTTTGGGGTGGGATTTGGAAGCAGGAGTATTCAAGGGGGAGACAAAGCTGGACCACTAAGGCGGGGAGGGTGGATCTGGGATTGGAAGGGAAGTGGCTCCACTGGAGCCTGGGTACTCACTCCTCCTTTGTGTTGTTGGAGGCCTCCTTTGTGTTGTTGGAGGCCTCCTTTGTGTTGTTGGAGGCCTCCTTTGAGTTGTTAGAGGCATTGGTGTTGCTTTTGGCCAGGGGCCAGGCACTGCGGGAGGCAGAGACCTAGAATCAGTTTCAGTTACTCAGGACCAGTGTCCCCAGGTGATGATTCTAATGCCCTAATTTCCCCTCCCCAGGTCTTCTAGTTCACAGCTTAAAGAACTCAGGACTTCTTTTTATCAGGGACAAAAAAAATGTTAGGGACTAGTTAGCTCTGGTTAAAGCTTTGGGGGAAGAGAGGCCCATGCTGGGCTGAGCTGAGGTTTTTCCGAATAAATGAGAATGGGTAGGAATTGATGGTTTGAATCCCGTCCAACTTCCGGGTCTCCGATCCCTCTGGATTTCCTGCCGTTCAATCCTGTACCAGTTGGTGTGTCAGATACCACAGGCCAGAAATGGACCCCTTGGGACCTCTGCCCTCAGGCCCTTCTCAGGTGGGGAGTGGAGCCTTCTGTGTCAGGATGGACACACCCTGCAGCAGGGTACCTGGCCACCCTCACCTGCACAGGTTCTTGGCTGTCAGGACAGTTTTTGACACAGCTAGTCTAAGAAAGCCAGGTTTCCTATCCTACAGCTGGCCACTGCAGATAGCTCACAGGAGACCATGGGGGACTGAGGCCAGTGACTAGTGACACTGCCACCTGTCTCTTAGGGCCTTTCCTTCTGTGATGCTGGATTTCTGGCCACATGGCATTTTGGCTGTTTCTCTTGCCCTCCCAAACCTCTGTCTTCCCATCTAACACGTGGCCACAATTTCTATGCTGGTGCAGCTCATTTGAAAATCCCCCAAGGAACTGACACCCCATCAGCTCCAGGGGGGTGTAGCTGCTTTGGGTACATGCCTCTGTGCCCCAATATCTCAAGGCCAAACCCACACAGGGGACTAACACCTATCTCCGCATACACCTTGCTTTGAAGTAAGGACTTGACGTCCAAAAATTAAAAAGCCTCCTCCTCCAGGAAGCCTCTCTCACTGATCAGCTACCACCTTGCCCCATCAATACATCACAGTGGCCCTTCTGATGGGTGACCAGGGATCTGTGGTCTACTCAGGATGCGGTCTTTGCCCAACCCTGTGCTCATCTGGTCACACTGGGAAAAGAACCAAGGGTACAGCATCCACGTCCATTCGCCTAAGGTTGTAGGAATTTGATTTGATCCATTTGTTTAAGGAAGTCTTTGTTTGCTAAAAAGGAATTTACAAACCAGTCTGGCTGGGTTGTTAAGACCCTTCCTTTTTCTCCCCCTCCTCTTCTTCCATATCTCTCTGCCATCCCTCCTGTCTCTCTGTCTCGGCAGTCAGTAGCATGTAGGCTTTACTCATGGAGCATGCTTGGGGTCTAGGATGCCTGGCCCTGGGAACCTGGGACTGACTGGCACATATCCCTGCTAGCACCCAGGTGCCCCGATCTCCTTCCAGTCGCCCAGGGAGCCCACAGGTTTGTAGTCGCAGCCCACGTGAGACCTTGTGCCTGAGATCCCTCCCCAGCAGGCGACTTCACATCTGTGCCTTCTGCCATCTTTCCCCAGTAGAGGAGACAGAAGGTGGCTGTCCTGTAGCAGTCACCAGCAAGAAATGACCGACCCTGAACTCTCCTATTTTATCTTAAGAATGCTTGTTCATTTTGCAGTCTCGTGCACAATCTATACTGTAAAGATAGCCCCTCAAACCCTCAGACACACAAATGTGGACGGAGGTCACAGAGGAGGCTGCAGAAAGATCCAACACGTCCCTGACGCTTGCCACCTTCACTTCCCAGGGTCCTCCTAGACCCACTGGGGAAGCCCCCAAACGGAGTCCTTCTCACCGACACAAAATCAGGTGGCGTCGTCTCTAGCAAATTATCTAGGAGCCATCTGTTCTGTAGCAATCTCACACCTTACACGTCTCCGCATTACCTACAGGATTCCGCCCAAAGAGAGCTTTGCAACATTTTTTAAAGGTTCAACCTTTTAAAATCTTTTTTTTCCCCCAGAGAATACAAGTTCTGGGTGAGAATTCACATGCTTGTGAGGCTGGGGGAGGCCAGGTTCCCCTCTGCATCTGACCTCTCCTCCCTGCAGACTGACCCAGGTGTCCTAAAGAGACCCTCTGCTGCTATTTCCCAATCTGACTGAGTTGTACAAGAGGCTCGGAGGCCCTTGCTCGGCAGATCTTCTCACCAGAAAGAAGCACACACTCTGCCCAGGCCTTGCCCTGCCCTTTGGCTCTTACCCTGACTTGGGACATAGATGATTCCCCTCAAAAATTAGACCAACTGGTCTAATGAGAAAAAATGCATATATATATCTATGCATAAAATTGTGGGTACAACATAGGTGCCCCTGACAAAGTGTCCTGGTATAAAAAGGCCCTTCTTCATAGCAAGATGGGTCACAGGGCAGTCTGGGATGAGGGTCATTGAGGGAGAGCCATTGGCGAGGCCCCTGATGAATTTAGGGGGCTCCATGTAGGAGGGGGTCAGTGGTCGAATGAAGCTGGGCACCTGGGCCCAAGGACTTCCTTTCCTGCAGAACTGCTTGGACTCCTGGTGGAGGATGCCCGAGCTTCCAGCCTTGCGCCCGACAACAGATGCCTTCTTCAAGGGTTCTTGCTCTGAGGCTAGCAAGGGACATCCAAGGTGGACCCGTCAAAGAGACGACTCCTGTTGGCCAGCGGGTGCAGGTGGGTTTTTCCTTACCTTCTCCCTCTGTCTGGTGGCTCCTGGCTGCCCGCGTGTGACTGCGCATTGCTTTCTTGGCTGGACACTTCCTTGAGCTCAGCTCCACGGAAACGGTCCGGAGGAGAGTCGGATCTTTGGTCCTCGCAGCGTGAGCGCCTGGCAGTCCACGTGCGCAGTGAGATGATGAGGCGTGCCAACCTGGAAGGGCCGTCAGAGGGCAGCCCTCAGAGGAGGAAGGACAGGGAAAGCCCTCTCCCTGGTCTCTAGAACCCTGGACAAGCAGAGATGACCAGGAGGGTGCGGGTCAGGGGCTCCGGTCTGTATATCCACTGAGCAGGGTCTTTTTTTTTCTGGGGGGTATTGGAAATTGAACTCAGGGGCATCGGCTGTTGAGCCACGTCCCCAGCCCTATTTTGTATTTTATTTAGAGACAGGGTCTCACTGAGTGGCTGAGCGCCTCGCTAAGTTGCTGAGACTGGCTTTGAACTTGTGATCCTCCTGCCTCAGCTGCCAGAGCCGCTAGAATTACAGGTGTGTGCCCCACTGTGTCCTGCTAAAATCAGTTCTGAGCAACTTGTCACTAAGCCGTGAATTGTCACATACCTTGACCTCATCCCACTTTTGTGTCCTTGGCGTCAGGGAATACATTGAAGCATGAAAATATTGCTGAGAGCTGCTGCTGTTGACATATTTTGAGGTGCCTGCCTGGCCCTTCTCAGCTCGGGACAGCCCCCTTCCTCTACTCTGTGCAAGGAGTAGGACCAAGGACATGTCCCTTACTCCTGCCTCAGCCAACAACAGGACTGGGGTTGGACACTGACTCACAACAAGTCACTCAAGCTTCTGAACAACCCAGAGCCACTCCAGGCTGGGGCTGGCTGTGTCCACTGAAGACTGTATGGTGAAGGCCATTGTGTGAGCTCAGAAAGCCAGAAGTGGGGGAGACGTGAAGGAAAAAAGACCATGACACCGAACCAGAGAGGGAGGAAGAAGGCAGCTGCCTCCCGCCCCCCTCCCAGGTGCCCCTTTCATTCCATTTCCAGGACAGTTTTTAGCACTGAGCAGTGGCTGCCCCAGCCCTATCCCAGCCCTACCCCAGCCTTTTAATCTGAGCAGACTTGAAAGTCCTCTCTCCCTTGCAATCAAAGAGACGTAAGACAGCATTTGATTAATAAACCAAAAGCACGGGAAATCTCTTAACTACAACGAGCTGGTCAATCAATCGTGGTAGAGTAGTATTCTCCACAATGAGAAATATGGTAAATAAATGAATGATTTTTTTGGGTGGTAATCTTAAGTAAAAAAAAGCTACAGAACACATGACTATGTAAAACTGAGGTGCTGTAAAATAATTTGCTGGAAAGAAACAACATATCCCAATGTTTGCTGAGAAACTGTCATGAGCGGGCTACCTGGCTCTGAGGCTGCTGTCACCACCCGCGGGGCAGGTACTGTGAGATGAATTTCTAGATGAGGCTTGGAAAGATGAAATGACTTTCTCAAGGTGGTGCAGCTATGACAGCCAGGGTACAGAGGGCTACGGAGCTCGGAGTCTTGCTCATCTTTCAAATACCTTTGCAAGGACACCCTCTATAGAGTCCAGACAGACAGAGACTGTATAAAACCTGCCAGGGACAACGGTCACCACTGCCTTAGCGAACCACTATGTCAACCCAGTAGTCACCTATGGCTGGCTGATTGGCTTTTTAATTTTTCTGAAATCTTCCAGAATTGATCAAGTTCTTTAACATCACTTTTTATTAAATCAATTTCAGAGAAAGACAGGCTTTTTTTTTTTTTTTTCCTTAGACTCCTCCTAGCTCAGAACATCTGATCTAAGAGGATGGAAATTATGACTGAGAGATTTCAGGCTGCTGTGCTTCTGCCCTATTCTCCAAAACTTCAATTTCACTCCCACCCAGCGCGTCTTCCTGAGATGTATCCACCTCCATTCTGCCCCAGCCTCCCCCTTCCCAAGGTGAAGGCTGGTCAGTTACCTGGCAGGTCCTTGGCCAGTGAAGGAGCTTTGCGGGGGTCCAGCAGGTTCTCTGGTCTCCATGGCGATTCCTTGCTGCAGGGCTGTGGGTGTCTCCTCACATGGCAAGTGGCCCCTAGCAAATCAAATATGCAGCAGCTAAATTGATTTCAAGCTCACCCACCTCCTGGACACAGTCAGGCGGGAGATGGACAGAGCCCTGCTGCAAGAGGGAAGCCATCCACCATCACGGGTCCACAGCCCAAGGACTCTCACTTCCATTCACCTCCAGCAGGCCTTGACTTTGGGGAGAAATGCATCTTTTCTTTATAGCAAGACTGGCCAAAGATCGTGGCTCATGTCCAATCATTGTCCAGAGGCTGGTGAAGGTATAGGGGGGAGACGGCAGCAAATGTTGACACAGTCCCCATCAGAGCATGGGATGGAATGGTGTTGGGGTGGAGTGCCTTCCATCTTGAACCATAGCTGCTGTTTTTTACAGAATGATTCCAGAATGAAGATTTTGGTTCAAACACAGCTCTGTGTGCTGAAATCTGACTCTCTAAGACCAGGTCCTCCTAGTGTCCCTCACGTGTACAATCACACTTCCAGGACAGTGTGCTTGTCTGGTAGCCTTTCTGCAGCCCTCTGGATCAAGGGGGAGGTTCCCAGATTTGCATGGCCCTGGCCTAGCCCTCCAGACACACTCAAAATAATGTGTACAGCGCTTTCAAATGCAAATTCACTCACTTGTTTGTCAAACCCTGGCCTCTGTGCCCTGCCTTGCATAGGTAGGGGACAGAGATCTCTTCTGTGTAATTCCCTGGCAGGTTTTATCCCGGTAAGAAGTATGTGCCTAAAGAGGATAGGGGGACCCCTCTGCAGGAGCCTGTTGAACTGCCTGGAATAAGACCAGGAATGTGTTTGGGGGTATTTGTCTTTCGCGTAAAACCTCCTGCGACTGAATTTGGATCAACTTGATGGCGAGTCAGCCAGGCATCGGCCTCTGGGGATTTGTACTTCATCTGAGGAGCCTTGAGGAGCCCAAGCAAGGCCAATTAATCCCATCACGTGGCCTATTCCAACCTAATCAGCTTTCTTAACAAGGTGGTTGAAGCAGGAGGCAAGAATTAACATCCAGGGGGCAAAGCTGCCGTCTGTCCCCGGTGAGTGATTAGAAGTCAGAGCTGCCCTGCCCCCTCCTTCCAGCAGCATCCCAGTCCTGGAGCTCACCACCGTCCTGCCAACTGGCCAAGCCCTTTCTGGACAGCTCTCGGGGGCCAGCAGTCTCCTCCCTCCCTGGGCTTCCCCTCGGCAGGGCCACTTTTTCTACAGAAGCTACACAAAGTCAGGCAGCTGAACCTCCTGCAGGGCCACCTGCAATGACTCTGCCACATCTGGTTTTCCAGGGATAGACCCTCCATCCTCGCCCTGTCTCACCCACATTCCTTCTTGGGTTCAAGTCTCTCCCCCATCACAGATATTCTCCTGTGAGCATGTTCCTGAGTTCTTGCCTTAGCTGGGCAGGGAGACTGAGGCCACCTTCTATTACCGGGGACAAGCCAGGGTGTCTTTGTTGGTTTATGTGCTTTTGGTGGCCTCTGATGGTCATCACTACTTAGCATCAGACCAAATCCAATCTTATAACACAGGCAGCTGTTAAAATATCAGCCACCCCTGATTTTCCTTACTACACCCTCTCATTTGCAAATGCAATAACCAGCCACCAGCCATTTGTCGATGGCTTATTTCTGTCACCACCTACCTCTTAGCATTTAATCCACGCAACACTTTAAGGGAGGGAAGGGAAGTCTAGAGAGGTTAAGTAACTTCCCGAGGTCACAGGCCAAGTGGCAGAGCTGAGATGCCAATGTCATCCCATCCTCTTACAAAACCTGCCTTCATCCACTCCCTAAAGGAGCTCATATATGGCACAGATTAAAATAAAAGGTGATGGGCCCTGAGGACCGAGCCCTGAGGCAGGCCACCAGACATGGCTTTGGTCCCTCTGGCTGCAGGGGGTGTGGCGCTTTAGTTCCAGAACCAGAGATCACTCACATCTCGTCTGCGTTCACACCAGAGACCCCTTCGGAGGCCCTGGGCACAGTCCACAAGCCAGTTCCTCTGCCCTCCTGATATTCTGTACGTAGCAAAGGTGGGCTTCATATTCCAAAGCACCTGGGTCAGTTACAGGAGGAGGTGGCCGGGGACAAGTGAGTCCATCTCTTGAGTCCTTGAATCTGAGCAACTGGCATGGGGTCGGGGTAGCACCTGGGCTGGGGCTGGTCACTGCACAGGTGCCCAGAAGATCCAGAGGCTATCCAGAGGGTGGAGGTGTTCTGTCTCCACCCACTCTAATTCCAAAGCCAGCTCACAACTGGCAGCAGCTGGAGCCACTGCAAGTAGATTGAATGCACAGGGGGCGGCAGAGTAGGGAGCAAGAGGTCTGGATTTGAATCCCTACTCCAATGCTTTTTAGCAGGCTGTTCTGTGGACTAGTCACTTACCCTCTCTGATCTTAAGCATCCTGCTCTTCATAAAGGAAATAAAGAATAAAAAAAAAAAACCCCTGGTGATTTCACGTTGATCTGAGCATTGCTCAAACTCCCAATCCCAGAAAGGACACTTAGCCCTGAAGAACAAGGAGAACCTTTTAAAATGCAAGTTCAAGGATCCCAGGGGACCTTTCCTTCATGCATCTATTATGTTTCAGTCAATGAGGGGCCACATATATGACAGCGGTCCTGTAGGATTATAAAGGAGCTGAAAGTTCCTGACAGTGGTTAGGGACGTTGTACACCCAATGATCACAGAAGTAGGAGACTGGTAGCCCTCACCATTAAAGGACCCATAGACCATAGTTACTTGGTTTCACCAAGCAGATGGAGGGGGATGGAAAAAGGACAGGAATCAAGAGTCTGAGGTGCCTGACAGCTGAGATCCCCAAGCAGACATGGGTCCTGAGAAAAGGGAGAAACTTCTAGCAATCAATGCAAGAATGGGGATTAGGACCTTCCAGGGAAATACAGAGGCAGGAGAGTCTGGGGGTCAGGTCCTGTTCTGCCTGGAGCTGGCTGAGGGGTCTGGAGCAAGGACTTGATAGGGCCTCAGTCTGTAAAATGAGCAAACTTGCTCGGGACAACCCTGAAGCTTCCCTCTGGTATCTCAGAAGCTCCAGGCCCCTGAAGTTGGAAATTAGCCAAGAACAAGGCCAACTACAGCCACATAATGAAGTGATTGTTTTGAAAGATGAGGTGAGATGCTCAACTTTCAGTGTATTTATAGAGACGCGTTTATGATGGTAAGGTGAAGGTTTCCTTTGCCCTTGATCCCTGGGCAGGACAGAGGTTCCCAGGAGAATGGAAACTGGTAATTAACTTGGCACTCTGTGGAGCATGTGGTGTCTTCTTCTGGTGACTTTGGGGACATAAGAGTAAACAGAGGTGACCTTTCAGCACCAGGCTGGAGAATATGGCACTTTATTTCCATTTTCCTCTTCTCAAGCCCTGAGGAAATTGAATGGATGGAATCCACTGCTATTGGACACATGTGACCAGAAATTGCAGCCAATTCATTTTTAAGTCTTTAGTCCTGGAGAAGCAGGTGGAAAATGGGTTTCTTTAGTGATAATTGCTTTGGGCTCCACTTGGGGAGTAGCGTGAAGAAAACCTCTTTTCTATAGACCACAGATCCTAGGCCCCAAAGCTCACTCCAAAATAGCTGCAGCAGGTGAAGGATGGGGACTTGGGGTGCTCTCTGTTCCCACTGCAGTCCTCTGTAGTATATTCTTTGGTCTTTTTCTTTTGCATTATCTTTTAAAATGTGCCAAATAGCTCCTAGATAATTGGGTTAACCAAACAGATCTAAATAGCCAAGGAAAACTCAGGACATTTTTATTGCTGGAGATTTTAGGGTATATATATATTTATTTTTTCTCATTCAAAGGAAGCATTCTCACTCTTCCTTATGACTTTACATTTGGAAAATAACTCCAATAATTTAATAAAGAGAAACAGAAAAGTGGGCCTCTGATTTGGTGAAGAACATGGGGGCGGAGAAGTCCCAGGGGACAGACACGGTAGCTCCTTCCTCTGAGACACTGAGCCAAGAGCCACACCAACACAGGTTTCCACTGGCTCCTTGGTATCATTAAAGATGATCAGTAATTACTATGTCAGTACACAAAGTCTCAACTGTTCATCTGAAAAAGATTTCAAAGAAACTAGAATTTCAGGGCAAAGAGGTGCTTCGTTCAAACACCATTTCCTTCCCCCAAAGAGCGGTTTGAAGCTTAACATTTTGTATGTGGATGTGCCAGAGGCCTTCGTTCAAATTGATTTTATTTGGAGACCTTGTCTGTGAAGAGAGAGATGCTGATCCTGGCTGGGAAGTTGGGGAAGGATCCCGGGGTTATGCCTCCATCCCTGAGGCTGCTCCACCTCCATCCTGAGCAGGTGCTGGCTCTCCTTGATGACTCTAAGGAACATTGTAGAAACTTCTATGGGTCATCCTACTTCTGCTTCCATAAGATAAGAATATATCTCTCCACCCTTAGAGTTGAGAAAGGAGGTCAGGAGGAGGGAGGAAGGCAGGGAAAGGAGAGGTACTGGAGAATGAAATTGATCAAATTATGTTATGTGCATGGAAGGCACTAAAAAAAGAAGAAGAATCTCTCATGAAAGAAGTATTGTCACTTTCCTTTTGAAATCTCTGTAGTGTTTCCATGGGCTTCTGTATTCACCTGTCAACAAGTTGTTACCATGCCCCAAGTGGACCTCAGGAAAACTCAGCCTGTGGTCAGGGTGGGAAAACACGACTGGGTACAGGCAGGAAGGGCATGTCCAGTTCCTGATGCATGGCCTTCTGGGGTTATCTGAGGTCTTCTGAGGTTATCTGAGGTCTCCTGGGGGTGATCTGGGGCATCCCAGAAGGCCCAGAGTGGGGGGAATCGTTCCTAGGTCTGACAGTGAGGATTGATGGAGCGCTTCACCACACAGCACGTGCCATGCCAAGAACGTTGCAGTCACTATCTATCTTAACCACAACCCAGATGGTCAACACTGGACCGGCTCATACTGCAGATGAGGAAACGGAGGCTAGACTCAGTTGAGCAACCTGTCATAGCCGGTCAGCTGTACAGACCCTGTTCCCACCCACACTGTGGCATTCCTTCCCACCATCTAGATCAGCTTTGCAAATAATCTGTGGCAAGCATGCAAAGAAAAGCCCATCTTACCTGCTGAGGCCATTCTCAGCACGATCAAGGTCTCTGTCCACGGTCTTTGTTGGCAGGTGGGTCAGGGAGGGGCGGGAGTATTGGGTGCTGACCTTGGCCATCTTGCTTGTTGCATTCAGTCCCCAAGGTGATGGCTAAAATGAGAATACAAAGTGGATATGCCATCAGGATCAGCAAGTAGGTGCAAACCCAGCTCACTATAGACCAGACACGGGCCACTCTGGGTGGCTCCCTGGGAACTCCAGTGCATAGGTCCTCACACGGTGCTTTAGCAATTCTGGATTCTTCTTTTGAACCTGAGCCACGACAAGTTCTTTCAAAATCCTTTGCATATGTCTCTACCCCAAAGAGCTGTTCAGAGTGAAGTGCTAAATGAGCAAATGAATGAACGAACCAACGGTTGAGGAGGAACCTGATGTAACCAAGCCAAACCCCATGGTTCTCTGGGAAAACGCAATGTCCCTTTGAACCCTGGCTTTCTCACTTCCTTATTTCTATTTTATAAATTTGGCATATGCTTTAGTAGTTTTCCCGAATCCTATTTTCAAACACAGTGTGAAAAAATAAGTACCAATACTTAACGTTCATAAAACCTTTACAAAAAAAAAGCAATGCTGGGCTCAATACTCATCTCATCCCCACAATAGCCTCCTGTGCTAGTCAGCTTTTCATTACTGTGCCCAAAATCCCTGACAAGAGCAACTTAAAGGGGGAAATTTTTATTTTGGTTCCTGGTGTCCATCCGTGGTTGGCTGGCTTCATGGCTTTGGGCCTGAGGTCAGGCAGAGCATCAGGGTGGAAGGATGTGGCAGAGGAAAGCTGTCAGCTCAAGGACAGGAAGAAGAGGCCAGGGACAGGATATAGTCCACTAGGGCCTGGCCTCAGGACCTACGTCCTTCGTCCATGCCCCAGATCGCATGCCCACATTTTCCACCAACTCCTGGTAGTCCATTCAAACCATTAATTCACTAATTGGATTAATCCACTGATGAGGTTAGAGCTCTCATGATGCCATCATTTCCTAGAGACCCCACCCCTGAACATTGTTGCATGGGGGACCAAGCCTTCGACACACGAGATTTTGGGGGGAAGTTCCAGCTTCAAATCATCATACCTCAGGAAGTATTTGAGACTTCTATCCCTATTTACCCAACTAAGACTCAGATCAGCTTGTCTGATCAAACCAATGGATAAAGCCTACCAATGTGGCATGTTCTTATGCCAGAAATCAGCCTAGGAACATTTTTCTCTTCAGCAAATGTTGGACGGTAGGTACACCTAGGAGTGAAGGGGAAGAGGAGTTGATGTGGGGGCAAGGCCAGTGTGGTTAGCCAGTTCCATAATTTCTAAATAATTTCATGAATTCCTGAGGTTGAATCACTAAACTAGACTCGCACAGACTCTCTGGAGCAGTCATATGGCTTAAGTGTGTCAAATGTCAGTAGAGAGCCCTCTAGAGAAAGATGGCAGTTTCTATCAATAGCCCCAGTGACTCACGCTGGGACTGAATTCATTCCACCTCCAAAGGAAGGGCAGTGGAAGGAGTCCAGGGGACCTCACCAAAGCAGCCTGTGGGTGCGAGCCCTGCTTTGCAAGATCAATGCACACCCTGTTTCTCAAGGGAAGCCGTTGACTCAGCTGGCACTTGATAGCTTAAGTCTAAATTTTTAAATTTTGCAGGCCAAAGAAAAATAAGATAAAGTCTACCTTTAAGAATTGGATGGTCTAGTGGGGCAGTGGATACAACAGGGCCCTCCAGGTTATACTGAAGAGCTATGGCTTCACCCTGAAGCCCAGTGGGTATGTGGTCAAATGTGCAAAGGCCATTGTGGCTGCTGCACTAGGGAGGGGATTTGAGTGTATATAAGGTGAGCCATTAAAGTCTGCCATAGCTTCTCAGGGGAGAGAGGGTAGTAGCCTAAACTAGGTAACAGTCACTTGATCTAGGCTGTGAACTGGATACATTTTAAAAATTAGCAAATGGGCATGGAATTGATTGGGCATAAGGGATAGTGAAGAGGGAGGATAAGGGCTTAAGGGATGGTGAGAGGTGGGCATGTTTGATTGAACAGGGTAGGCATGATATCCTGCCAGCTGGCATGGAGGTAGGGATGCTGCTCACCGACCTAGCTAGGGAAATGGGGAGCAGATTTGTGGAAGAGAAGGATTCCAGTTTGGGATGCCTGTGAAAACTTTGGAGCCAAATTATGAAATATTGGTTTTCCATTAAAAGCCCAAAACTCCAATTTGTAATGGTCCATTCAATACTTGTGTTTAATTGAGCACTTACCACATGGGTGGGTCACAATGTGCAGCTGCCCCAAGAAGCACACAGTCTAGTGGAGTCCAGGGCAAGTTTTTGGGGACTCTGCAGGAAAACCATTACCTCTGTACCCGAGGCACAAACCCTAGTCCCAGGGCCACTGTGTGGTGGTAGCCCTTCTGTCCACTCACAGACTGGCCTCCTGTTGTGGTCGTTAGGTGCCCAGCCCAGGATAGATGCTGGGCAGCACTTTCTCATGTGACCCTCACAACAACTCTGCTCCTCGCTTTGCAAATAAAGAAACTAAGCAGGTGAGTGGTTTCCTGAGGCTGGGCCTGCGCCCTGGCCAAGATGGACCAGAGGTCTGACTCCACAACCTTAATCATGTCAAGGAACCAATGTTGCCTCTAGGTCTGGGCAGGAAGGGTCCCGGCCCTGGCCCCACTCTGACCCTCCTCCAGCTACATCCCTCCCGTGAGGCAAGGTGATGTGTCCACCCATAACTCCACCTCCTGCTTCAGAGGATGCTCTGGGTGCCCAGGACTCCCTGAGTCTCTGGACTGTTCTAGACCCTCCGTCTCCTCCTTCCAGGTCTACTTTCCCCAGGGTGGCCCTCAGGTGCACTCCCCTGGGCCCGTGGGAGGTCAGGGAGCAGCTGTCTGTGAAGGAGGAGGGAATGGACCTTGGAGGGATGGGCAGAGGGTCCACATGCATGGGTGCAAGACCCCTTGCGACATGAGGTGGACCCAGGGCAAGAGAAGAAGGCAGTTCATGGACAAGCACCCAGGGATGAAATCTCCCTATGTGCCCACATTCTGAGGCTCAAACTAAAAGTTTGAACCTGGCCTCCAAGGCATTATGAAAGTGTATCTGTCAAGATGGGAGGTGGGCACGTTTGATTGAACAGTGTGCCAGCTAGGGCACCTAAGGGTTGCCTCTGGCCCTCTACCTCACATCCTTCCCGCCAGTCTTTCAGTCAGCTGTTGCTATGGCGGCCAGCTGCATGCTGGGTACCCTGAGAGCATCTTGCCTTACCTTCTGCCCTGGGGCCTCCCTGCTCCCCACAGGGAACACCCTCTTGGACCACATCAGTCTTTCTGACTCAGGTAGAACCCAGAAGTGTCAGAGTTAGCACCCTCTTGACTCATTGCAGCAGGACTCAGGATGTCCGCTGTCCTGGACAGTTAGACCAGGAAGGCCATTCCGGGGCACATTTCATGTGGTTCCTTGAGGACCCTGGTTGCCCACACTGGTGGTCAGTGAGACGATTCCATTGGGTCACTTTCCCTTTTTCCTTCTTTCTTCTTCAGAGACTCCTACTTCTCTTCCTTGGAATCAATCCCTAAATCAACTGCCCACATACACATCCTTGTCCAAGGATTCAGTTTGTTTTGTTTCTTGGGAGAACCCACAGAGCAAAGACCTTGTTGAACTTTTAGATGTTTAAACACATGGTAAGTGTGTTGTTTGCATTCCTGACTCAGACCCCTCAAGGTTTAGGGGTAAACCTGACTTCTCTTTTAATGCTGTGTTCTTTGGGGAATGATCAAAGCAAAATGTACAACATTAAGGGGAAATGCCAGTTTAAGAGAAGTAATTTTTTCTTCCCCAGCTGTCTCACAAATGTCATCAATGATTGTCTTTATTTTTTATTATATTTTTTATATTGGTACTGAGGATTGATCACAAGGGGATTTTACCACTAAGCTACATCCCCAGCCCTTTAATTTTTTTTTTTTATTTTGAGACAGGGTCTTGCTAAGATGCTGAAGGTCTCGCTAAGTTGCTGAAGCTGACCTTTAACCTTGTGATCCTCCTGCCTCAGCCTTCTGAGTAGCTTGGATTACAGATGTGCATCACTGCACCTGGCTAAATGATTGTCCTTTAAAAAATATGTAAAAAGAACCAGTATCCAAATGTGGTCCATATATTTCGATTGGTTGATATTGGCATTTTTTTTAGCTGAAGTTTTCCAAGCCTGTTTCCCTTTATGGAAGACACTTAATTGCTTGTCTTTGTAATTGCCTACAGTTTAGTTTTTTTTTTCTAATTCCAACTAAAACAATTTCCTATAAATGGTAATTGCAGCCAAAGGACTGGTCAAATTTGGATTCCACATTTGTGTTTTGCTAGGGGGCGTTGTATTCTTACATCAGAAGGCCAATAACATCCAATTATTTCTTTGGGTGATGTTAGCAGCCATTGATGATCATTAATTAGATCCACCAACTCATTAGAGATTGCAAGTTCATGCTATTCTATCAGTCATTTGTCAATTAGTTGAGATACTCTTAAAAGAGAACATTTTAGCTCATTAATTACTTGGTTGACCAGTGGTACAGTCCATAGTAGTGGGAGAGGCATTTGGGGATACAGAGAAAGATATGCTGAATCTCAAAAGAACTCAGTCTCAATGAACCATCAGAATTCGAGAAACACACATGAAATACAAGATAAGCAACTCAAGAGCAACCCAACCCATGTCCTTAGCCCATGTCCTTGGCCCTTGTCCTTGCCTGCAAGAAGTAACGTCATGTAGGTGATAACAAAGCGCACAGGGAAAGTGATGTGAGATTGTGTGTTTCCACCATAACTCTACCTCTAATCCCTAGCTACTGTCCTTCCATCAATATTAACACCCCAAAACATGGGCTTGCTTCTGGAGATGGCCCACATTCTCCTTTGAATGTGTGTCTTCTTACCTCAATAAATTGTGTCTCTGCCTGGCGTGTCGGTACACTCCTGTAATTCCAGCAACACTGGTGGCTGAGGCAAGAGGATTGTAAGTTTGAGTCTAACCTCAGCAACTTTGTGAGACCCTGTCTCAAAATTAAAAATAAAAAAGACTGGGGTGGGGGCGCGTATCTCAGT